CGCTCCTTCCTTGCCGCTGGAATGGCAAGCACGCAGACTGCGAGGTGGCAATTCATCGGTCTCTTCAACTCATCACGACGGAGGTCAGCGCCTGTTCACGCAAAGATCTGCAGGAATGGATTGCAGAAGCCATCCCCACAAGGGCATACGTGTTGGGAGACAGAAAAGAAATGGAATGGGAAGGACAGGACACCGGCGGGAAGGAAGCGAAGGTGGACCTCATACCAATTCTGATGCACTTAAGTTACGCGGCAGTCCTGAAGGAAGACCTCATATGGATGCCATGGCAGGTAGCGGAAACTATTCCCTACAGTCTACTAGGGGGAGAAGTGGTATCGGAATGGGCAGCAAGAAGCGCAGCCATAGCAGTGGAATTGGACGCATTTGGAAGCCGGAGTACTTGGAGAAGAGGATCGAACCACAGGCAACTAGGATAGATTTGGAGCCTCACAGCTCTTGAGCTAGTATAGGGATGCTAAAGGCCAGTAGAAGCGGATTAACCTCTTATGGAGCGACGGGCGGAAGAGAGGCAAGGGAAGAAGGCTAGAACGCAACAGGTAAGAAACCTCACTCTGCAACTAAGAATCACGTCATGGAATGTGAATGGGTTGGCACAAGCTTTGGACAATCAAGACAAATGGGAAAACATCACAAAGCATAATCGGTGGTTTGAAGCAGATGCCCCCGACTTTCTATGTTTACAAGAAACGCACCTAACAGCAACTCAAGAGCATCAACAGACGCAGAGCAGACTCCTACAGAAGCTGAGATGGTCCAAAATGTCAGCCTGGGCACCAAGGGGGAGACCCCACTCGACAGGTGTGGCAATACTACAGAATGGGAGGGCAGCAGCCGAAAAAAAGATTGTAGTGAGGGCCACTCAAGCAAATACAACAGAAGGAAGGTGGGCAAAAATAGACTTTACGTTCCAAGAGGAGGAATATACACTACTGACGGTCTATGGTTCAAATGGGTCTCAGCAGAGACTGCAGATGATAGAAAAAATACAGAATATACTTGAAATGGACAGGCACCTCATTATAGTAGGGGACTGGAACGCCGCTCTCGACCCTAGTATGGACCGATGTCAGGAACAGGCAGACAACGGGAAGGGGGAGCAGGAGAGCAGGCATGGGCAATACATAATATGATGGTGGGTAGAGAACTGATAGACCCTTATAGACTGTTTTTTTCGGGAGGAGAAACAGTTCACCTACTATAAGAGAAATCGTAGCCAGCACGTGTCGGCCTCTCGTATAGACTACTTCCTAATTTTCGTGGGCCTAACAGGAATGATTCATAAAGTAGGGATTGGGGATCTGCCTTACGTGACTGGTTTAGACCACAAGCCCATATTCCTACACATAATCACTGACAAGAAGATCGAGTGGGGGAAGAGTTTCTTTAAGATAAATAATTCACTACTCCAAACTCCAGAGATGAGACAAGTGGTAGCAGAGATCTGTATGAAGCACAGCCCTGAAGAACAGAGCTTCCCAGACCTCCTTAACAAGCTAACAACAGCCTCAGCAGTGGTAGCCAGACAGATGGCGGCCAAACGAAAAAGAAGGGAGCAGGAGCTACAACAAGCGGTTAGAATAGCAGAAAGGAACCTGATCAGAAGCCCCGAAATGGTCATGTACGAAAGAACTCTGGAAGCAGCGAGGAACGAGCTAAGAGAGTGGGAGAGATGGAGAATGCGAGGAATGCAATTGAGGGCTAGGGCTAGGGAATGGGAAGAGGGAGAACGAATGACCAAGTACATCTTCCATAAAATCAAGACCAACGGGAGGAACGCCCTCATAGAGCAACTGCAAGGACATCAAGGCATCACATCAACAGCAGAGGGAATGGTGGAAGTAGCACACAATTTTTGCAAGAACCTGTACACCTCAAGAGAGTCTGAGCACCCTCCACAACAAGTAGCTAACGCAAGGGAAAAATTCCTAGGTTACCTAGAACCAACAGTTCCCAGCACACAGGCAGCAATGTTAGACGGCCCAATCTCACTGGTAGAGCTAGAAAAAGCCCTTAAGTCCATGGCTCATAACAAGACATCGGGTAAGGATGGTCTAACCAGGGAGTTTTTGTTGGAGTTTTGGCCGATCCTACGGGAAGAATATGAAGTATTCTGCAAACAAGCATGGCAGGAAGAGGGTTTGAGCTAGGACCCAGCTACATGAATAGTCGCACTCCTCTATAAAAAAAAAAGGAGATCCGAAGGACATACGGAACTATAGACCGATAACTCTTCCAACGTTGACGCATAAGATTGTGGCCAAAGCATTAGCGAATAGGCTCAGACGAGTGACCGCAGGATGCTTCCATTTGGATCAAATTGGCTTCATACCGGGAAGATTTATCTTGGACAATGTAATGACTCTATCAGAGTCGGTACGATATATTAAGGACAAAAAAATAAACACAACAATCCTCTTCTTTGATTTTGAAAAGGCCTACGATAAAGTGAATTGGATTTTCCTTCAACAGTGTATGGAGAGGATGGGGGTAGGACCCAACTTCCAAAAGTGGATCAGAGTTCTATACAATGATGCTCATGGACAAGTCCAAGTCAACTGCCACCTTTCAGCGAGTTACAGGATGTCGCGCTCGGTCAGACAGGGGGATCCCCTAGCAGCCCCCATCTTCTTGTTCATCATGGAGGTCGTCGCCTCCTTCTTGAGGAAGGATCCCTCGATGCAGCGTTTGATTACGGAACCGGATCAGTAGGGAAGGCAAGTGCAGCTCCCCACTACATTGTTGTTTGCGGATGACCTGACGGTGCTGATCAGAGCATCTGATTCCTCCTTCCAAGCGTTGACAAGAGCCATGGATGCCTTCCAACTAGCTTCGGAAATGAAAATTAACTGGCCAAAGACAATGGGCTGGTGGCTGACAACCAAGGAAGGGGAGGGTTTAGACCCTGCCATTAACCCGAAAGGATTACAATGGACCACAGCACAAGCCCCGCTAAGATATCTGGGAGTTAAGATAACGAAAACAGGCCCGCACCACTCCATGGCAGCTGAATTGATGACCAGGATCCTAGCAATGCTGGCGGCATGATCAGCGATCTATACCTCAGTGTTTGGGAGAGCGCTCATCCTAAATGCATCCATCTTCTCAATGATGTGGTACACAGGGACAATCTGGAGTCCCCCAGCTGAAACGACAGCAACACTGCGAAGAAAAGCTTTAGCATACTTGTGGACCTCAGATCCCAACATGCCTAATTTCATTTCTAAAGTGGCATGGAAGCATGTTACAAAGCCGAAGGAACAGGGAGGCCTTGGCATAATAGATCCAGACCAGCAGCTCAAAGCTCTGCAAACAAAATGGGTAGTCAAACTAATCACCCATCAAAAACTACCTTGGGTGCCACTGGCCCTCGACAGAATCAGACAAATGGTGAAGTACACAACACCAGCCAACATGCCAGGGCTCTTCTGGCTGATGTGCAGCAGCTGGGCCAAAGTAGGGAGAGGCCCAAGGGAGCAGACAAGTAGTGAGCACGGAACCAGACGGGACACCTACTAGCAGCAGCTACTGAAACTATGGAAGGAAATTTTCCCTGCCAAAGTTAGAGAGCCACGTTCTCGTGAGGAGGTTCTTCGCCAGCCACTATTCTGTAACCCAGCCATAAAGGACACATAAGGTAAGAACCTTACTCTCACACAAAAAGATACAAAATGGGGCACGTGGGTAGAACATGGAGTCAGGCAGATCAAACATCTTTAGGCAAAGGATAGGCAGCAATGGAAGACGGCCAGGGAGCTCAGAACGGAATTGAAAGGATGCCACAGGCTAACCGAGAATCTCAACTACATACTCGTATCCATACCGCAGGAGTGGGTAGCCATGTTGAAAAGGAATACGCAATGGGGACAAGGCGACTGGGTTACATGGAAACAAGAAGGGGAACCTACTGAAGCATTCCGCATCTGGAGTCAAGAACCAGCCAGGATGGAGTGGTTGAACACACACATGTACAACATCATGAACCCAGGAAGCACCACCAGTCTTTTGGACCAGGACTCCAAGACTCCGCTCACCATCCAGGTGCACCACATACAAAAAGTAAGAGTAGTGGAAAGCCCAACCACTCCAATAGAAGAGTTAGAAGTTGACCCGGTGGAATGGGCGTGGAATCTCAGAGGAGGAAGGTTGAGAATTTCCAGAAGAATCAGTATACTTAAGTACACTACGCGAATTGGTTATCAACTGAGAAGGCGACACCACACTCTGAAAACCATACTCACGAAGAGGTGGGAGAACAGAGTAGGAGTCTCCCCGAAGCAGTTACCAACGATACCATGGACAACGATCAATAGGATCAGACTTGGCTGGGTCAGAAGCTTGCAGTGGCTAATTGCCCACGTAGACTTGCCGGTAAACGCTTGGCTAAATGAAAAAAGAAGTCGAGCAAGAAGGGACTCTTCCAGCGCCTTGTGCTCAGTTTGCCAGCAGGGCTCAGTGGAAACAATGGAGCACAGCCTGCTGACATGCCCAAAGGCAGAGAGTCTATGGGAAACAGCCAGAACCCTCTGGAAGCAGATGACGCAGAAACCTTTCCCGCAAGAAAAAGAGACCTTGCTTTTGGGACACAACTGCCCTAGGGAGTGGCCAATATTCAAGAAACAGCTATTTCAGCTCGTAAGACAGTACACAGTATGGACAATCTGGAAAAGACGCTGTCAGGTTACAATAGGGAAGAGGCCGATGCATGATCAGGAAGCCCTGCAATACTAGCCTAATCTGGGTAATGGCCCCAGTCATCCGGGTTGAGATGTGGAGGGGTTCCCGGCCTCCTTTTGCTCTTTATATAATGAAACATGCTATTTGTTTAAAATAAATAAAGAAATAAATAAAAAGAAAACACCAAACAAACCAAAACTGAACCAAAACAAAAAAAAAAACAAAGCAAAACCAACGAAAAACCAAACCAAAACCAAAATGAAACGAACCAAACAAACCAACGACTAATGCACACACACACACACCTGAAAACTTCTGCTTCACCGGTCCCTCTTGTGCCCGTGTCTCCTTCAACATTGTTTCAAATACAAGTGATGCAGTGGCGTCAATCCTTTCCTTTATCAGCTTCACGCATGCCTACACACACACACACACACACACACACGAAGGGTCCAGAATCCACATCCAGTTACACACACACACTGTTGCATACCGTATAGGTGTAGACCAGAACAAGAACCGACCTTTCAATACAAGTATAAAATAGCACAGCGGAAGACTTAGATACCAATGATCCGAACAATCAATATTGCAATGCAGCCCCAAACATACATCATCATCATCATYCCATGGTGTGAAGGGGTCTGGCGCTTCACACAGGAAGACTGCGCCAGTCCCAACCATACACAGACGAAGAAGATGGGGTTTAGACGAAAAAGAGGGGAAGATGGGAATGTCGTCAACACCCAGTGTTCAGCACAGGCCCAAATAGTCCCTCGTCGAAATGTCTGAATCCCAAGGTTGAGTCTGGATCCAATGTCGTCAAGTCTCAAGTCACAACTCGCTCTCTCTCTCGGTAGTAACCTGCTGATACTGAGAAGTCAGGTGGGAGAGGGGAAGAAGAGATGGTGGACATAGGGGAGGAAGAAGAAGAACTCTCTCTCTCTCTCTCGGTGTCCAGTACTAACCTGTGAAGTTGGCGCCTTGATGCAGGTACCTCGAAGGTGGAGCTGGAGCTATGGCGCCACAGGTAAGTACCGCTGGCCTCCGCCAGCCATCTCCCTCTACTGCCACTACTACCACCTACTAGCGCCCAGCGCTGAAGACTACAGCTATGGCTATGGGCGCCCAGCGCCGAAGACT